AAATACAAAAAAAAAAAAAAGCAGAATTGGAGAACCAGGAGGCAAGGAAAAAAAAGTTTACTCAGCTATCATTAATGAACACACATGATAGCCAGCGATTGTTTCAGATTTACACACTGAAAGCACAAATAAAGTAAAGTTAATACTCAAATGGATCTGGCATCTTAGTAATGCGGCTATTACTTCCTGTGATGCAGATCGCAACATCCCCATGCTTGGCCATCCTGCACAACTCTTGTGCATATCCAACAAAAACAACAATAAAAGTAACTACTACTGCTGCTGCTGCTGCTGCTACTACTACTATTACTACTACTACTACTACAACACTATCATTACCACCACCACCACCACCACCACCACCACCACCACCACTACCACCACCATTACTACCACTAAGTTCACCAAAAATAGTACAACTAAGAAACAGAGCTTTCCTTGAATCTTCTTGCTGGTGCAGTGGATAGAACACTGGGCCTAAAATCAAGAAGAACTGAATTCAAATCTGGCTTCAGAAACTTACTAGCTGTGTGACCTTGGAAAAGTCACTTAACCTCTGTCTGCCTCAGTTTCCTTGTATATAAAATGGAGATAATAATAGCATCTATTTCCCAGGGTCATTGTGAGGATCAAATGAGATAGTAATTGTAAAACTCTTAGCTTAGTGTCCAGCACATAGTAAAAGCTATATAAATATTAGTAATTATTTTATCATACATTTCTTTGATGCCATCCTTTATATCACTTGTCCTGCATAGTTTCTATTCATAGTATGCTGTATATCCAATATTTACTTCTTCATTGACTTTTTTTTTTAAGGCAATTGGGGTTAAATGACTTGCCCAGGGTCACACAGCTAGTAAGTATCAAGGGTTTGGTCTGAGGCTGGACTTGAACTCAGGTCCTCCTGACTTTAGGGCCGGTGATCTATCCACTGCACCACCTAGCTGCCCTTTTTTCATTGCCTTTTGAGGAGATCCTCAATTTCAGTTCTTTGGATATTGTAGTCTTTTATAACTCATCCATACAACTTCACTGGGATATTGGTATTAAAAAGATGGGCTTTTCTTTCAGAGAATCCTTAAAAGAACTGAGTAATTAGTGCTGTGCCTGGTAGGTATTTAATATGTGCTTATTGATTGGTTGATTAATTAATTTTATAAACAATGGGTGTGTGCACATACATGCACACACAAAGATTAATATACTCTCTAAGTCTTCTCAGATACTGCAACACTTATCTCTATAATCTTTCATAGATCACTAACATTGGCTTAGTAATCATATCAGCCAAGTTTTTCAGTCTTTAGGATTTAGCTTATGAAGATCTGGGGACTTTAACTCATCAAAGGTAGCTAAGTGCTCTAATACTATTTTTCTGCTCGTTTCAACTCTCTCCCGGAGATTTTTGTTCTAGGCCTTCTAATCCAAAGACTAAAAAAACAGCACAATAAACAGAAAAAGAGAAGTTAGGAATAAGTTTAGGGGAGAATAGTTCACTTTGGGGCACATTGAGTTTGAAATGTCAATAAGGTTCTCCATCAGAGATAATTGAGCAGATTGTTGGAAATACGGTACCAAAGTTCAGGAGTATGGTGGATATAACATATTTGTTGAATAAACAAATTTTATTGCTTGTTGTTTTTATTTATTCATTCAAGAACCATGTGCTAAGCATTTACTGTATTCAAAGCATTGTACTAAATGTGAGATTAGAGATAAAATGATCTTGGTTCCTGTCTACATGGTATTTATAATCTAGCTTTTTATATTAATTGCAATTTAAGAGATTATTTACAATTAATTAAAATCTGATTAAAACCTGCATATATTATAAGCCCTGTGGTTATAAGTTTTGCTAAATAAGTGGATGCATCAAAAATCTATGATAAAACCTAAGTAGAGTTAAATATGTTATCAGGAATCCTCTCCTTCATAACTTCATATTTACTGATATTTTCACCCATCTACCCTACAAATAACTGATATTTATAATGTCCTGAAGCAAACAATGCTTGAAATCATCAAAAGTAATGTTCAATATATTTGTTGCATTATATGTTTAATTGTTGTTCAGTTCTTTAAAAACTGCTCATGTCTATATGATATATATATATATGTGTGCGTGAATGACAATGTTTATTAATAAAAATATATGATTAATAAATTAACTAGTTCTCTGATCATGTTGGATGAATTTCCTATAGTTAAAGCTACACTGAAAGCTTTTAAGCTTCTAATTGTGTCCTACTCTTCTAGTGCCAAATTTTAACTAAACTTGGTCTCATTTAATATTCTGACAATTCTTCCCTGGTTCCCAACAAAATCATTTGAGAAAAGGAAAATGTTTATACATATTAATAATTAGATAGCAGACCTTTACTGGAATAATCTCCATTTATCCATAAAAATTTCCCTGAAGTACGCCTTCATATACAAGGATCTGTTAAAAATATAGTTTTAAAATTAAACAAATTATAAAAATTTTTAAATAAAATAAAAAGATAGTTAAAATATGAAATAGTCCTTAATCCTATGAGGTCCCATCTGGTTCCAGAATGATTCATAAGATGTTAGGTTAGAGCTGGAAGGAGCTTAGAGACAATTTAGACCAGGGGTCATCAAACTAAGGCTTGGCCTGTGGGCCAACTCTGGCTTACAGCCTGCTCCTGTAGGCCCCAGTGACTAAGGGTTTTTACATTGCATGTTAAAATGTAAAGCATAGCCTTAGCTCCTGGCCTGTACAAGGATGGGCAGCGTGTAGGCCGTAGTTTGCCAATCCCTGACTAGTCTATTCCAATCATTTTGCGGATTCAGGAGCTGAAGCTCAGGGTAGCTGTTTGTTGCCCAGCATTTGTGTTAGGTACTAAGTGTCAGAGCCCAGAGATAAACAAGGTCCCTCAGCTCTGTATCCGGTCTTCTTTTCTCTACACACTGCTAATTGTGGTGGAGTGGTAGAGAAAAGGGACAGGATAGGTGAGAGATCACAGTAATTAGACCATCTACGAATATTTATATCTGCAAGTATTTAGATAATTGATGATTATCACTTTTTAAAAAATGTATTTCCTTGAAGATACTTTTCCTGCCTGAATCCCAGAGGTCTTTACAATTGCTGTCCCTTTGAGTCTTTGTTTTATCTTGATCCATTCCTGGACCTACAATTTAGCCTATAGCTAAGTCTGATTCTGCCCTAAGATGAAGCACGAAACTTTTATCATGGTTCTAGTTGGCATCTAGGCCTAGCCTATCTAAATGTTCACTTCAAACATGATATTTTACTGTCAGGATCCCAGGCTAATTGTCTTTTATTTTTTTATTTCAAAATGAGGGTATGAGGGAAAAAATGGCACATTTATAAATCTTCAGTGTCTCCCCCCAAAAAAGTATCCAGTAAGTTTTAGAATTCCTCATCTTCTAATTCAAGTATGATACCTTCTTAGTTTTTCTAATTTATTTCACATTAACTCCCCTCCAAGATTTCTGTGCTTCAATCAGATTGGATTAAGCTATGTTCATTGCTCCTCTGCACTCTCCCAATCTGGTTTATTCTCTTCTTATACCTGAAAGTCCTTACTCTTTCTTGCCTTTTGAATTCCTATCCATCTTTTAAAACCCATGAAATTTTCCCTGGGTATCTTCTATGAGTAACGCCCTTCCCCCTTGGGTCTTGTATAGTGTTTTCTTTTGTATTCCTCTATCAGGCTTCTCATGTAAATACTATGTATTAGTTATATGTGTTTTGTCTCATCCCCCAACAATTGTGCAAGTTCTATGAAGCCTTGGATTGTCTTGTTAAAACTTTGAATCTCTTAATTCATATAAGCATGTAATAAATATCTGTTGAATGAACAAAGCCTTAAGGTTTTTGTTCATTTTCAAAGCTGAAGTCATTAGATATACACTGAGTCCAATGGATGCTAACACTTCCCAGCAACTTAGGTTACCATTCCTGCTTATCTTCCATTAAATTTGTTTTTCAAATACCCATTCCCTATCTCTCTAGGTCAAGAGAACAACTGTCTCTGATTCTGACTTTCTTCAATATCATAAATGCTTAAATAATAGAGTAACATATGTCATTTACAACAATTATAAAAGAAATACTACTTTTCGACAAACAGCAGAGTTAAATGCCAAAAGTTAGAGAAGAATCAACATGGACTAGTCATGACAGGGAAGAAATGAATCATGGAATGCTTTTGAAGGATGGCTAGGACATTGATAAGGAGAAAGGAGTAAATTGATTGGATGTGTAGAAATAAAACGTTACATCTTTATCAATAGAACAATACAGACCAAATGCTTATAAATTGATGTATATCTTAATTTTACCTAAGGAGCTTATTATTTCAAGAAAACCAACAGTGAACTGATTTCTTCAGTGGACTGTTCTTTTATGAAGTGAATCATTTTCTTCTAATTTATCATTTTGTAAGTTTGGATTTTTCATTTAAATTGGAATTTCTTTTAAAGAGATACAAATGAAATGATTTTTAAAAAGATTCTGATCATAAATGAGTCAGATTGAATAATTATAGGAGTTTAGGACTGGAGGGGGTCTCAGAGATCAGTTAGTATAACCCTCAGGCCTTTCAACATGAGGAAACTGAAGCAACTGGAAATCAAGTGATTTCCACAAAGTCACAGAATCAATCACTGAGAGAAACAGGACCAGAAGCCTTTGGTCTCTTGACTCTGTCCAGCTTCCTTTCTACTTTACCACATAGTTGCTAATAATGTTGAGTTTGAATATGTTGATAATCATAATATGGTTATAATCATAACTATATTGAATGAATGAAGCATGCCGGTCTTTTTGCATGGTAAGTTGTAATCGAAATACTATTGAATTTGAATACAATTGAATATTGAATAATTGAATACAATATTGAAATTGTATTTCAATAAAATAGTATCTTATTTTGTGGTAAAGCAAGAACCTCATAGTTGCCTTTCTTTGACATGAGAGATCTAAAACAGTTGATCTTTGTTTACAGGCAAAATCCATCTACTGAAAGAAACTACTGCATTGCTCTCTCCAGAAGAAAATGTATCTTTGATATTAAAATGTTATGAAGGAGTACAAATGAGAGAGGAGATCTGTCAAATGGCACTGGCTATGGTGAGTTTGGAATGAAATATATTAGGTCTTTATGGAATGGAAAATACAAATTTATTAAAGAAAAAAGGACAAAATTGCTATGAAATGGCTGGTTATCCATTGTATTCATTACTCTAACTAACCCTTGGATTTTCTTTCTGTTCTTTTGGACATTTCATGACATAAATTCATGACACCTATTTTACATGGGTGGAGGTATGTTAGTAGATGTAGAGCCATAAGGTATCTTAGAAACATAGGCCAATATGTTTCTTGATTTTACATGTTTTCTGCACCATTAGATTGTGAGCTTCTTGAGGGCAGATACTGGTTTTGTTTTTTCCTTGTATCTCCATTGCTTAGCACAGTGTTTGACATATAGGAAGGGATTAATACGTATTTGTTAACTCAACTTGACACAGAGTATGGGAAGGGTGTGCTCCCACACACACTCTTTAGCAGATGTTACCATTGACTTCTCTTGAGCGGAAAAGGAGAAAAAGATGATGGTCATATTTGCCACAGGCTGTGCTTCTGTACCCTGGAAACCACCCATATTCTCTACATGCCTATACAAAAGGTCTTCTAGTTCAATCTTCTCATTTTGTAGCTAAGGAAAATGAAGCCTGAGAAAATTAAATGACTTGTCCAAGACCACATAGATAACATGGGAGAAAACTAGGGTTTGAAAAATGATTTCTGACTCCAAATTCATTAACCTTTCCATTCTACAGATCAATGTTTTAAAGAGAGTAAGCTATTGTAAAAATGAGGTTTGTAAATTATCTGTGTATCTCAGTAATTAATACTGGCTTTGCTACTTACTATCTGTGGGACTTTGAGGATCCCTCTGAGCCTCTTTTTCTTCTACTATAAAATGAAGGTGTCAGTCTAGTGTAGATCTAAAGCCCCTCTAGTTTTAAATCTATGATCCCTCAGAGTAGGACTTTAAAAGAGGGTTTTAGAACCAAAATAGCCCAAATATTAGTTATAACAACTCATGTAAGATCATGACTTTGGAGGAAAACATGTGAAAAGCCTACTTAAAAACTGACTTACTATATAATGAAAAGCCTACTGTTATTTATACTGTCATTATATACAGAGTGTTGTGGATTTAGCTGATTTTGTTGGTCAAAAGCTGCAAGTTGAACTGATTTTTTTAGTTAAATCTGAGTAAAAAATTCCATGGATTTCTTTCATTCTAGTTCCAGATTTTTTCTTCTTAGTCCTAATTCTTATCTGCTATATTCCGGAGTGATGAAGTTTAGTTTTCAGATTCTCTCATTCCATACTGTCATGGTCAAGCATTCTTTTGGGGAGTCCATAGGCTATGTGGCACTTCCTTTCATTTCCACATATGGAATTCAACTCGGCCTTTACCCAGTGGCTAGTAATGGATTCACATGGCACAGGCAAATCTTGATTGCATACATGACTGAAAATCAGATACTTCTCTGTTTCAGAATATCCATAATTTCATAGGTGTGCTGCCACTTTCATCAATACAGGCTTCAGCCCTTCCCTACCTTAGTAGATGGTCTTTGTGGCTTGACTCTGCCAAAAAAAAAACCTGTGACCTGGTACCTAACCTAGAGATGTAACTATGCAAGCTTAGTTAGACAGGTCCTCACACGGCATGCAGTCCATTCTTTCATTTTATTGATGATAAAACTGAGGCATAGAGAGTATAATTGCCTTGTTTAATAGGTTCACAGATCTAGTAAGTGTCACAGGGGCTTGAACCAAGTCTTCTGACTCTAAGAGCAGTACTCCTTCCACTGATCCATACTTCTTTTGCAGTATTGAATTAAGGTTAAAAACTCTTTTTCTTTATGATTCTGTAAAGAATTTTATGTTCCATTCTTCAGTTTTTCTTTTGTTATTTAAACAGTGCTATACTTGAGTTAGATGGTCATTTCTTAAATGACATTTCCAGCAAATTCTAGGAAATCCTATTCTCTATGTTTTGGATAGCCTTCTGGAATGAGATGGAAGTGGGGGAGGGAAGGACAGAAGGAAAACAAATGTAAGTTGGACTCAGATCAGTGAGATAATGTCTAATATGGCCAAAATGAATTTGGCAGATGTTTTTCTCCTGTTTATTCCCACTCTTGAGTTCACATGTTGAAACTTGGAATCCCACTTGCATTTTTTTCATACTTACATTTTTATTCAACTTTAGTAACTAAACTGTATCTTTGGATTTTAGCCAGGAATGAATATCGAGGAAAAGTTTTGATGTGGATATTTGACGGGAGAAAATGTTACCATTAATAAGCTCCCACTCCCTTTTATCTTCCCTATTGCAGGGGTACTGAACCCCTGGTTGCCGATGAACAAATCGTTTCCACTTACCCCAGCTTTCTGCTCCTTTTTTCTCATCCACCTCAACTCTGCTCCCCTTGTGAGCCACTCTAAATCTGTCTGACATGTCCAGGGTTCTCTCTGGAATTCTGGCTCTAAAATTAACAAACTTTTCATAACATACCTTTTTCTTTCTCATTCCTTCCCTCTTTTGGCTCCTTGACAACACTACTTTTCCTGGCTACTCTGCTGCACTGCTATGCTTTATCTTATACCTTAACCCAGTCATGGTAGAGGAGTTGAAATACTAGCTTGTTCCCCGTAACACTTCCAGACTCTTCCTCTACCACTTTCACTCAGCAAGCTCTTCTCCTTTGAGGTTCTTGGTATACAAATTAATTTCCTAACCTAGGTCCTGGTGGCCATTATCTACTGACCCTCCTGGCAAATCTCTTTATCATTCTACCTTTCCTCAAGCCTCACTTCTCCTAAATCTACTCTTCACCCTCATGGATTCCTTTAATTTTTCCTCTCCTTAGAAAGGATGCCAGGAATGTCAGAAGGAGAAGGTGAAAAAGCATTCCAGGGCTGAGGGGTAGCCACTGCAAAGAAAGGAGGTAGAGTAAGGAACATCTTTAATTGTTCTTATCTTCTCCTTTCTTAGAGACCTCCTCTGATGTTGCTTTCTTTCACTATCCAATCTCAACCCAATTATTACCCATTTCAACTCTATGGTGTCCTTTGCTCTTGAATCTCTTGGCCCCTTGTTGTATCACTGCTCTCTTCTCTTGTGAAACATTGGCCCTGAATTACTTCTGTCATCTACCTGCTCTGCTAATACTCATGAGCCATGGAAACATCTAGAGAAAGTTTTACAAACAGCATAACTGGGTACATTGCAAAATCACAGGTTTATGGACTTCTGCTTCTGGGAGCCAAGATGGCGGAGTAAAAAGGTAGTCGCTCTCACCCTCCCCTATCAACCTCTGAAAACCCAGAAAATATCAGCCCAGAAAAAACCCTGGAATAGCTGAACTAGAAGAAAGATGGGGTGCAGCAGTGCAGTAGCCCAGGTAGCTAGAGGGATTAACTGGAAAGGCCCCTGTCATCCTGGGGAAGGGGAGCAGTACGAAACAGGAGTCGCCCAGCCAGCTAGTGGAAAGACCCACTTTAGCACACCAGGAGGAGATTCTGGTGCCTTGGCATTCTATAGTAAACGGGTCTCCCAGTGCCTCAGCAAAAATAAGGGAAGCAGCACTACAAAGGGCCCCAGGCGGATAAGCACCCGGCAGCATTCGTCTAAAAGGAGCTGAAGAAAGCAACCTAGAGGTGCCAAAGGTTTCAGCCTTGTTGATTCCAGCCCAACACCAGGTAAGCTGTCAGAACCCTACAGCCTCCAACTGCCAACCAGGAGGAGATCCCGAAGCCCAGGTGGTCGAGCAGGCAAACACCAACAGCTGTACCTCCGAGTGCCTCAGTGAGGGTGGGGTGACTGGTGGAAACCAGCTCAGAAAACCACCAGGTGCCTCAGCATTCTACAGCAAAGAAGTCTACCAGTGCCTCAACAGAAATAAGGGAGGCAGCATGGCAAGTGGCCCTAGGCAGATAAACACCTGGTAGCACTTATCTTAAAGGAACTAAACAAAGCTAAAGGAAAGGAAAAGCAAGCAACCTAGATTTACCTGAAAGTCTCAGCCTTGCTGATTCCAGCCCAATGCCACATAAGCTGCCAGAACCCTACAGCCTCCAATTGCCAACATAAGAGGCCCCAGCACACAAAGCCAGTAACCAAGACCTAGGTTCCCAACACAAGAAGCTTGGGTCAGTGCCCTCTGCTCCCCAGCAGGAGAGCTTAATCCCTTTAAAGGCCAGAGAATAAAGAAACACCATGAGTAAAAAGAAACATGCAATAGATTCATATTATGAGAAGAGGGAAGATCAAGACAGAAATTCTGAAGAGGACAACACTGCCATCAAACCCACATCTACAACATCAAAAGGGAATATGAACTGGTCTGAAGCCCAAAAAGCCTTCTTATAAGAACTCAACAAGGATTTTAAAAGTCAAATGAGAGAGGTAGAGAAGTCCTTTAAAAGTACAATTGGCCAATTGGAAAAAAAGTACACTGAAGAAAACAAGTCCCTAAAACACACAATTGGCCAATTGGAAAAAAAGTACAATGAAGAAAATAAATCCCTTAAAAATACAATTGACCAGTTGGAGAAGAAAGTACAAAATCTAACAGAAAAAAAAAACAGTATGTTAAAAATTAGAATTGAACAAATGGAAACTAATGACTCTATGAGAGAGCAAGAATCAGTCAAACAGAAACAAAAAAATGAAAAAATAGATGAAAATGTAAAATACCTCATGGGTAAAACAGCTGACCTGGAAAATTGATCCAGGAGAGATAATTTAAAAATTATAGTCCTACCTGAAAGTCATGATGAAAAAAAGAGCGTGAACAGTATCCTTCAGGAAATCATAAAGGAAAACTGCCCTGAAGTCCTAGAACCTGAAGGTAAAATAACTATGGAAAGAATCCACTGCTCCCCGCCTGAAAGAGATCCCAAATTGAAAATGCCAAAGGATATAATAGCTAAATTCCAAAATTACCAGATTAAAGAGAAATTGCTGCAAGCAGCCAGAAAGAAACAATTTGAATATCATGGAACCACAGTCAGGATTACACAGGACCTTGCAGCCTATACAT